AGGTCGGGCTGCAAGAGAGGAGAGAGGCGATCAGAGCGGAGGGTTGGAAGCGCCCACACCCAGCAGACAACAGCAGCAGCTTGACAAAACACAGCACAGCGATAAAAGAGACCAGAAACAGTTAAATTGGATCATTCTACTGTGTGGAGGCTAAATGTCCACTCCCAGGAAGAACAGAGAGCTGCTGTACAGTTTATTCAGGCTGTCCCCTTCCTAGCCCTTCTCTTGCAATTTCCTACCGCTACGCTGGCATTACAGAGGCAGGAGAAGAAAGGGATTAGCAAGACTGCAGGCAGTTTTGTCCCGCTATTATCTGTTACGAAGGACAAACTATGTGCTACCGATGCAAGGCTGCAGGGTTCAAAACAAGACTGAGCTCCTGAGGCTGGAAATACAGGGAAATCCCAGCGCTGCACCGCCCAAACGACACCTGCTCTTTCCTCCAGAGCGGGGGCACTGGGATGTTGAAGCTCTGAGAAAAGCAACCAAGACAGCGTGGGATAACTCCCGCCAGCCCTGCAAGGACGTGGTGGAAACGCTTCTGCTCCCTGGAGGCCGAGCTCCTCCACGTGCTGCGGAGCGGAGGAGGAAAGGACAGCAGTGTGTGAAACGCAGCTGGAGCCTCTGAAATGGGCTAGAGCAAGGGGAGCAACGGAAAACCGGGGTCTGGAAGCCTGTTCAATAAACCAATGCTATGGGGCGGCACATCCCACATTTGAGTGCTCCCACGGTGGTGGCAACCCAGCCCCGCTCCACAAAAACACAGCGGAAAGTAAATGCCACCCTGCCCATCCCGAATCCCGAGAGAAGCGGAGGAGGGAGCGGGCAGACGCCAGCCTGCGCAGCCCTGGCTGTGATGTGGCCGCAGGCAACGAACCTGCTGAGCCCCGCCAGGACCTGCTGACGAGGCAGCGACAAGCCACCAACAAACCACAGAGAAAATTGCATTTGCAATGACTACATCCATCTCTGAAGTAGGCCATGAGGAGCTGGGCATTCTAATCTCAGCCTTAATGTACCCTGAGAGAGCGATACCACTGCACGCCTGCTCCTCCTCTGCTGCAGCGCAGGTGGGATCGTGCGTCCAGGACCCGGGTCCTGTTTAACCCCTTTCTTGTACCAGGGGAGAGCGCTGAGCAAAGGGTCTACATTTTGGATCAAAAACAACCATCTCCGAGTCACACACTTTGCAGAAAAGGAAAACAGAAGGGCTGCAAGTGCTACAGTTGCTCATGGGCTTGTTATTTATCAACCGGGAAGCAGCACGACACAAGAATCTTCTGCAAAAGCAGACAAACCCCTCCTTAGCAGCATTCATACCACTTTATTACACTGGTTAAATTCCTTAAAATTTAAGTGAAGGTGCAGAAGCACCCAGAGAGGAAAGACGCTGCTAAAGAGTATCTGCACGTTGCAGGGGAGACACTACAGCAGCACCCAGAGCGGGAAGGATTCTCCTGCAGGTCCCGCTCCCCATGGAAACCCCTCCGCTTCCCTCTGAGCGCTCGGGCGGGCAGGAGAGCGCAGGTTTTGCCCAAAGCTGCAAAGCTGCTGAAGCGCGAAAGGTTTGGGACCAGCTGCCACTGATGGGTGTAGACATTCGAAACCAAAACCAGATGAAGCACGTGATGGAAGACACCCACACAGCGCACACCACAGCTCTGCTGTAACCCACCGAGCCTAACAAGGGATGAAGTCTCCCTCGGCTTTATCCCAAGGGATATCCCATCTAATCTGACACAGCGAGCCTGACGGGCAGGGCAGAGTCTTGCAGTCACGGTCATAAGCCAGCAGGCATGCAGGTTTTTCTTACGTCGCTACTTTTATAGCAGGAGTGGATGAGGGGACTGGAGCATCTCTCCTGCGAGGAGAGGCTGAGGGAGCTGGGCTTGTTCAGCCTGAAGAAGAGAAGGCTGAGAGATAAGGCTGAGAGAGGACCTTAGAAATGCCTCTAAAGATCTGCAGTGTGGGGGTCCGGAGGACGGGGCCAGACTCTTTCCAGTGGTGCCCAGCGACAGGACAAGGGGCAACGGGCACAAACTGAAGCAGAGGAAGTTCCAGCTGAACACGAGGAAGAACTTCTTCCCTCTGAGGGTGATGGAGCCCTGGCCCAGGCTGCCCAGGGAGGCTGTGGAGTCTCCTTCTCTGGAGATATTCCAGACCCGCCTGGATGCAGTGCTGTGCAGCCTGCTCTGGGTGACCCTGCTTGGGCAGGGGGTTGGGCTGGGTGACCCACAGAGGTCCCTGCCAACCCCTGCCATGCTGGGATTCTGTTCTGTTCTGTGGTTCATGCAAGGAAAAGGTTTCCTTCCCACTGACTGCATGCTTCTCTTGCCTTCATTAGTGATGTGCATGGCCACTTAATGTGCACTTCTGGCACCTTTTTTATTACCACCAAGAATTTAAAAAACACTTTTGTGGCTGTACAAGTCTACATGAAAAGCTACTATAGAAACACTAAGCTACTGCATATTTCTGAGAAGTCCTTCAGCAGAAGCTGTCCAAGCTACGAAAAATGCAGCCCGTATTTACAGTGGCGGTGTAATCCTTCTGAGAGATTAGCAGATGTGTTTATTTTGTTCCTACAGCAGGGCGGTGAGTGAGAGGAGAGCATTTCGTGTTTGTTCTGTACTGTTTGCCTCCAGGTCTGGTGAGCATTTGAAACATGCCAAGGGAGGGAGGCTCAGGAGGGCAGGTTCAGCCCTTCCTCACAGCCTTCGTCCCACTCACACCCACCTGCAACTGCACAAACACCAAGGAAGCGGCATTAGAAAACCAGGCCATGTGTTTGCTCTCCTTCACATGCCAAGTGTGAAGCGGGAAGCCAAGTCACTGAAACCTGCTCTGAACCTGAGCATATCCCATGTCCTACATGCTAGCTGCAGGGAGAGCAGCAGCCAGCCCCGTGTTCACTGGACCTGTCCGGCAAGGGCCTCTCACATCCTCCCCCAAGGCAGAGGACGTGGCCCTGGTGCTCACCGTCATAGAGGACTCCGTGGACCTTCTGTCCAGAGACTTTGCCCGGCGATGGGGGGACAGAGGAGATGCAGACACATCCAGGACGGAGCCCACAGCTGCACCTTCGCAAGTGAAGTCCTGCGTAAACAGCGTTAGCCCAGATCAGCGCAGGAACTAGGACAGCACGTCCCACTCTCTTGGCCCACGGCATAAAAATCCACTTATTTCAGGGGCATCTCAGGCTCAGAACAAGTGTCATTTCACTGGCAAGACATTTTTTTTTGTCCTCTCGTGCATTAATTTGTTCCCAATATATCTAAGCTTATCTGGGACTCTCAAGGCTGCCTGCTTCTTTTGTCACTTTGCCCCGTCCTGATGTGTCCTGCCACGCCAGATCTGAAGTTTCCCTCCTTCTGTTTTGGAGGAAGGAGAAAAGACTGCCTGAAGCTCCACTGCTCTGCAGCTGGGCCAAGGGAGCAGAGCAGCAAGCAGCAAACCCGCACAGGCTGAGCACACACAGCGGTCTGGCTCCCGCACGAGCCTGCCTGTGACTCCAGATCCCCTGCTCCATCCAGGGACAAACCCTATAGCTAATCCCTAGAGCTAAACCCTCTGTCCCGGTCTGCCGGATCCCAGGGGCCACCCTCCAAACCCCCCCACCAGACCTCGGCCCAGCAGCTTACCCGTTTCCGCGGGAAAACCCTCTTCTCGCTCCTGCCCTGCCGCGTCTCACTGGAAAGGGCAGTGCCGGCTGACACGTTCGTCTCCATGTGCTCCGCGTTCTCAATATCTAACGCCTCAAATTTTTCAATTACCTGGGATCGCCTGGAAAACAGAGAGGAAGGGGAAACCAGAGCCCGTTTAAACACATGAACAGTGACTGCGCTGAGCTGTGCAATCCCACCAATGTAAGGCTGCAGAATGGCTCGACCCAGTGTTCATGCACACCCGGCTTTTGGTCCCTGTTTCTCTGCAAGCTCCAGCGTGCACAAATCCAGGGCAAAACGCCCCGATCTGACGTGCACCGTTTTACCTGCAGCCAAAGTGGGGAAAAACCTCACACTACTCAGCTCCACAAATACTATCTTCTTAAATATCTAGAAAACCCTTGCAAAATCAGCAATGACTTTTTTACTTATGAATTTTACAGCCTTTGAGAAGCAGGGATTACTGAGCAGCTTTGGCTTAAGCGTTGTCTTTGGTCTCTAGCACCGCAGCTATCGACGGCTCCCCAGGCCATGGAGCAGAGACACGTCAGACCAAGCTGGGGTGCGGAGGTTACGGGTGCCTACGGGTCACCCTGCGTGTTCACTGCGACAGAGACCCTGTCAAAACCCAGCCCCGCACGGGTAACGTCCACAGGACTGCACTGGGTGAGGAGTGTCCGTAGGTGCCTCTGGACAATGGGGCTGCCTTGCAGGGTGCCGAGAGGCATGAGGAGATGAGGAGCACCCTGTGCAGGCACAGCAGGGCATCCCCTGCAAAACCTGGGGCTCTTCCCTCCTCTCAAACTGGTCTGCAAATCCAGTATGGGCAGCAGGGAGCACAACCCGGGCTCTCGGACACCGTCTCAGTGGCCCATCGCTCCATGGCACACGTGTCCATGGATGGAGCAGGAGCCAACCCTGGACCAAACCCAAATGGGATGCTCCTAAGAATGAGCAAACAACAGGCCTTTGCAGGTGGACTTGCCAGCGCTGTTTCAGCATGAAAAGCTGCTCACTGACCCACAGGAGAGGAAATACTGGAATTTTCAAAGGACCTGCTGGTATCTAAGTTTGAAGCCCAGGAGTTCGGGCAAGTATCAACCTCGGGTCTTTAACCACAACCTGGGAATGTGAAGCAACAACCCACCACCAGCACGCACACCAGCTGAGCTCCAAGCTGTGAGGTTTAAAACTCAGTTTTGAACCTCTCCAAAAAGCTCAGTCCAGGTGGGTTTTTGACACAAAATTTGGACCCACACGTGCCGCATCTAAACTCGAGGCTGCTTGCTCTGTGTGAACCTCTGATGTGCATGAAAATCACAATGGAAACCACATGAGGGGAAACAGGTTATAAAACCGACATTCTTAACACTTCTCACAAAAAGGAACAGCAGGTTAAGGGCTCAAAAACCATGAGATGTTCAGTTTTCAACCAACATTTGAACCAAATTCCATAAATGAGAAGAACAGTCAGAGCACATCACATCCCCCGGCGGGCTGGGGGCCCCCACTGCTGCTCAGAGCCAGGCTGCCAGGACTGGGCGCTGAAGCCCACAACCGAAGAGGAAGGGACAAAACCGGCGGGGAAGACTTTGCTTTGTAAATTCAAACGTCTGTGATGTTTTTATGGGACATCTGTTCAGCCACCGCCACCTCCCAGTTTGCAGACTGGGAGCAGGCAGATCCCGGGCTGGCGCAGAGCTCCCAAACCCCCTAGGATGTTCCGCTCACAAGACGTCCATTCACATAAGCCAGCCTCTGGAGAGCAAATCCTCGTTCTCAGCTCACCGACAGACAGGGAACTGTTTTGGAGTCACAATTTTTTAACCCTTTTTACACTGGCCCAGCCTTCTCTGAGTGTCAGTTTAGGAGGGAGTAAGAGGTCCATGAATTAACATTATCTATACCCTGTCAGGTGAAGGCCTGAAGAAAAACAAATCAGGAGAAAAAAAAAAAACCCAACCAAAAAAACATAAAACAAAATCAAAAGCAGGTTGATTTCTCATGAAAGGGGCTGCACCACCAGGTTGTTCTACGGCTTGAGATTGAGATGAGATGGTAGCGAAGCAGGCGAAGTAAAGGCGGACACGTCACACAGCAACACAGCAGGAGAAGGTGGAGAGCAACAAGACCTGGAAGAAAACAAGGCTGGAAAATGAATGAACAGAAGAGGAAATCATATATCTGCATCTACATACAAAACAAAATCAAAATCATTCCAGTAATTCGTCATTGAAAAAGGGAGGAGAAAAATAAATCACTGCAACCAAATCACAGCCCCAAGGGTTAATATAATCCAGATTACAGGAAAGAATCGGGCTTTTTTCCCCATTAGCTCAACATTTCAGAGTGGTTACTGCCAGAGATCCTGGGGGGACGGGGAGGGGAAGAGCTCTCCTCTCCTCCCCACCGCGCCGAGGAGAGAGCTGCTCCCTCTGAACAGCAGCTCCGTGTTGACAACGCGAGGCTGCGGACGGGTACGAAGAAGCGTTTTAAAAGCCGCGGTGCCATTTAGTGCTTTCTCAGCTGCAAAGCTCGTCCCAAGGAGTTCCTCGGCCATGCTGGCTGTTAAATCTTTTCCAGGCCACTAAACCCGAGCCGCAGATCTCGGCTGTTAGGTGGAGGGGTGTGTGCGGTGGGAAGGAAAGCTATAAAGACCAGCACGAGCTATCGTTAAAGTGATTTTCTTTCTTTGATTGGAAGAAAGGGCTTGTTTTTATTGGATTCATTCATTATTTAGCAGCAAGAAGGACAGTGAGTGTCAGGAAAAGGAAGAGGAATTTCCCCAAAAGGTCCACAAAAATGAACAGGATAGTTACACAAGAAAAAAACCCAATACTTGGGAGAGCAGGCGCTCCTCTCTATGGGTAGAAGCAGCATTCAGAGCAGAGCCTTACACGTCAAGCAGCTCCAGAGAAGGAATTTGAGAAAGGGAAGCCTTTTAAGCAATTTCAGGCAGCCCTGTTATTTATAGAGGCTAGAAATACTCCTCAGCCCCCTGACCACGCTCCTACAGCAGATTCAGCAGATGCCAGCGTGAGCAGAACGTGGGGTCAACTGGGAAAGCCGCAATTTTAGAGGCTGCATCCCTGGAAGCATGCAAAAAAAAAAAGCCAACTTTGCCAACCAGACATCCCAGTGCTCCCTGGGGAGCTGCAGGATGTGGGGAAGCCGGCAGCCGCAGACCCAGAGGAAGGGACTCTGGGTCTCAGCACCCCAAGGACTCCCCACCCGATGGTGGTCTCCTTCCCAACGCTGCTCGCACGTTCCGGAGATGCGCCAGGACTTATCCCCGCAGCTGCAGAGCTCCGCTGGGATATGGGGACCAGCATCCAAGGTTGTCCCTGCAGCCCCTTCCGCTGCGATTCTGCGTGCAAAACAGGCTTCGAGAGTTATCTATGGGGTTTCCAAAGAGCTGCCCCGGCTCTTTCGCCCTAGGCATGGGTCTGAGGTGGGAGACCTGAGGCATGGCTCAACCTCTCCGGACACAGACCCTCTGCCCTGGCCCGGTCGGACCCCCTGCGCGG